ACGCTCAACTCACACGTGCGTCTTGAATTTTTTTTGCACTAATTAGTTTGTCCACAAGGTGGCAACCTTAAAGTAGAAAAACAGACAACAACAACGAACACACGGCGGCAACAACAATAGATGGCCACGTTGACGAGTGCTTGTGTGAAAGGAAAACGATACACTATATTCTAACATGAGCAAAACTATTTATCACGTCTGGAAAGAAACAACGCAGACACGGCAAGGACAAAATTTTGTAATGGCCACGTATCGAACGTTCAATATTATAATTTAAATAATTTAAAAAGCTATGTTCGGCTGTACACAAATTCTAGCATTCAAGTCAAAAGCAAAGTCCTTTAAAATCTTTAAAATCACTTGTGAGGTGAGTTTCTTGTGTGCTTTGTGTCAGGAGTGCTATTTGTATGATAAACAAAATTGCTGCCAATGTAAAGCATTCCAGATTGGTTACTTAGCTACGAGGGTCGTTTTCTGTTTAAAGTTTTTATTTTTATATTTTACATTGTCAATTTTTTTAAAGATTTATTTTTGCCATTTTTGCCTTTTATTATGATAGGACAGTAGGGCTGTCAAAATTATATTCGAATTTAAAAGGCATAATTTCAGTTAGGGTGAAGAAAAGCTTTTGGCTTCTCTCCTGAGGCCACAAGAGGGCGCATCAAGCAAAATATAATACACGTTTATTCAAAGCATAAGATAACATGACTATTTGTGGAAAAACAAAACAGCATCATGTATGTATTCATAGTTTAATACAAAGGGCCGAAAGCCAATCACACAGAGTATATTTTTCATTTAAGAACATGAGATGCAGTGGGATGGGGAAAAAACCCGCCATAAAGTCTCGAGATATGTTTTTTCAAAGTTGAATTTACATAAATTTTACATGGCTTTCTAAACAAAGGGCTCTCTTGTGTGAGACGCGAGTGCAACATTGATAGATGTCCGTCTAGAAAATGCGAAAAAGGACACTTACATTGTCATTGCATTTTGTGCACCACTGATAAGGCAGCCTCCTTAACGCACACCTAAAATTCGAATGCAACGTTTTTGCATTTATTTTAAATTCGATGAATATTCGAAATTCGAAAAAATTTTTGACAGCCCTATATGACAGTATTGTAGACAGGAAGCGAAGTTAGAGGGGGGTAGGGAAAGGTCCTCAGCCGGCATTCGAACTCGGGACGCCTGTAGCGTAATGGTGCTATATATCGGCGCACTGCCCACAACAAGGCTTTTAGTAAATTTTTTTTTTTTTTTTT